TGTATACATACATACACTACACAAATATGCGCGTGTTCACGCATACAACACGTACATACCCGACGATGTAATTAATAAGTACTTTAATCCCGAGAAAGAAAGATTCGTTTCGCGGTATGAGAATGATTTTAGGAGCCTTCGTGTTGAATAATTAGCAGTCTCATTCCATGTATCGTATAATCGAGAGATCGAGTGACCGTGATCAGTACTTATATAGCGATAAAATCATTAAATGACAAAAAAAAAAGAAATGCGGAATGATGATGAACCTGTTAAGGAAGAAAAAAAACATGACGGTTCGTAGTGTGTACTGTATTCGAATGTGATCGATTTGTTACTTATGTCCCCGATTATTGTTACGTTTTGCTTCTTATTATTGCTAATGTATTTATTATTATTATCATTATTATTATTACTATTATTATTATTACTATTATTATTATTATTATTACTATTATTATTATTATTATTACTATTATTACTATTATTATTATCATTATTATTATTATCATCATCATGTTTATTATGACTCCGAGATTATCATAATCATTGTGAATATTATTAGCTCTATCATTGCGATCATTATTATTGAATATTATTTATTACTATTGCTATTTATTATCATTATCATCATCATTATTATTACTACTATATTACTATTATACGAACAAGGTCGACCGCTCATTTTTTTTTTCTAGTCAAATTTCTCTAGTCCCAATTAGAGTACTGTCGATACTTAGTCTCCCCCGTCCCCAATGTATTTGATTTCTTGTCAAATATCCCCAAAATGATGCCACGCGTTGCAAGACACATAGATTTTGCGTAATAGAGTGAGGCATTACCTGTGCAAGAAATGCAGTATACAACCCGTAAATATGAGGTCAATGTTGATTTGTTTAAATAAATGTAAGTTTGAAAACTCATCACGGATGTAATCATTTTTGCAATCATTCCTCTGAAAGTGTGCTTAATCACTTTAGTCAAATCAAAAAAAATCTTCCAATGCAAGATTTTCGAAAAGTTTTGAGAATGAATTTGAATTTTTCAAGTTCTGTCAAGAAATTTCTAAACAAAAATTATTATAGTTTTCTACAGGAATAAGTTGCAATGCGAAGATAATTTTAACATGAAATCTATAAAAAAAAATTAATACACTATAAATTAATTATAATTTACAGAAATATAATGGTATTTTTTCAGATTTGCTTGCGAGAAATTAAATATTTAAACAGATGCTTGATTGAATAGAATTTGCAAATCTTACACATGGAATGAAATATAAAAAGAAAGCTAGAAGTCGAATTAAAAAGATGCAATCATCCAAAATAAGGAATCATAAATTAATCTTGTTATTTAGTTTTAAATTTAAATTTATCGATTTATATTAATCGATTCATGAACATTCAAACACTACTACCACATAGCGGTAATACAATGGTACTAATCATTATTGTTGTCTTTGTTACATAATAATCTTTTTCTTGTCTATCAGATGACATATATCTATCTTTGTTGCATATTATCGCATTCTTTATTTATGGATAAATGATGTTCTGTCATCTATGGGATTTATATTAAATCTTTCGCTTTTGTCGTATCCGATAGATGGCTGTACTTATCCATAGATAAAGAACTTTTATCATTGACTAATTAGGATAGACCGGACATCGAACGGGGTTTCGTGTCTCAGAGTCTGCACTACCGACCAGGAAAAAAAAATCACTGGTTTTTTAGTGTTCTCTTACGCATAAACAACGGTGAACTAATAATGGAGAGTATCTTATGATACATTATTTTATTAGTTCTCATTCTGGGAGATTGTGAAAATTTCTTTCCTTTCTTTATTTCACGATCTAAATTGAACAGTAGGGACAATTAGTTGATAAGTAAAATGTTAGACCCCCCAACGGGGCACCGTGGGACGACGAGGGATCTCGCAGGGACATCATGGGATACGCGCATTTAGCTTTAGTTAATCATAAGATAGTTAATATCTATAAATTCAATGTAAGCACATTCTATAGAATGATACGATTCTTTAAATATGTAAAATATTTTACATATCATAACTTAATTATAACTATTTTCAATTTGAACTTTGATTTGTATTTTAATATATTGTGCTTTGGTTTACTTTTCATCGGTTTTTTCTTAAAGCTCCTTTTGCTGTTCGTTTGCACGATGATAAGAATTTGTGAACATTTTGCAATCGTATATCAAAAGGAGTTAAATTTTTTTTTTTTTTATTGAATAAATTTATTTTAAAGTAAAAGAATGATGGATGGGACAAGAATGGATCTCGACACGTAGCAACGTGGTAAAATCAGGGCAATCATTGTTATTTGTGATACAATGACTAATTGTATTCCTGCCATATAATTATAAATTCTATAACAAATGATCTAATCCGCTACGATCACGATTTAATTTTTATGTAATTAAAGGATTTGTTGAGTTGTTAGAGAAATCGTTGATTTCTAAAATTATAGATTGAATTTTTTTATGATAACGTATAGTGCATTTGCAAATATTATCGAAGACCGTAGAACTTAGATTTTAATGGATATTTCAAAACATATGATTTGATAAAGTAATAGATCTTTTCTATGTTTCCTTTTTCATTAAATATCAGGTCCATTCTAAATATATTTCCCTAAGTATATTTCAATAAATAAAACATCCGTTATAAGTAATAATTTTATCGATTCCAACGAAAAACCAATCGATAAGTTCGTAAAACACAAATAGAGCTCTTTCTGATACATACATAAATGTATAATAAAAAAAAATGAAATAATTTTAGATACTAATCCCGTGTTTTGGAATCTGGAGATACAATTAAACATTTTGCTTGTATCATTTTACTTGGTATAGTATATAGTATGTATAGTATGCCTGTAGTATATAGTATATATGCTGTTAAAGTATTGTTCGAAGAACACTTTAAAGATAATATTTAAAATAAAATTGTTGCTTTTTGCAATTTGTATATATGTATAAAGATGTAAACATAAAGCATGGCAACGTGTCAAAATGGCCGATCTCAACAAAGAACTAAACGAATATCTTCTTAGCAGTAAACATGAAAAACAATTTAAAATTACCGTACCTTCGGTAACAATACCAAAAGCGAGCATTGGAAAATGGTTCGGAAAAAATGAAAACGATAAAGAAGAGGCAGGATGGATCCAGGGAACACAAAAGGAATGTTGTCCTAGTATGGTATGTACATATATATATTTCAGTATAACCTATATCGTTAAATGCCTAAAAAATTGATTTTAAAAATTAACAAATTTTGTCTTTATCTTTTTTTTGGCAGACAAGAATACAAAGACTAATAGGTTTTGTCGTATGCTTTTCTATGGGTGTACTTTGTTTATGTCTATCAGCGGTATACATTCCGGTTCTACTAATTAAAGCGAGAAAGTTTGCACTTTTGTATACTTTAGGAAGCGTTTTCTTCCTCTCAAGGTAAGCTTATGAATCCGTGAAGAATTATACAGAAGAATTGATATTTAATTTTATATTAATTTTTATAGCTTTTGCTTCCTTTTGGGTCCATTAAGTTATTTAAAATCATTATTCACTGCTGAAAGAAGGTGTTTCAGTATGTCCTACTTTGCAACCTTAATAGGAACACTTTATTCTGCTCTACATTTGCAGTCTACCCCATTAACAGTACTCTGTGCTGTCTTGCAATTAATAGCTATGTTATCATTCTTGATAAGTCATATACCAGGAGGAATTAAAGGTCTGATGTTTTTTACAAGAATGTTCAAGTCGTCTGTAAATTCTACATTGCCTGTATGATATCATAGTGACTTAGATATTAAATATATACATGAAATTAACATTGTATCTCTAATTTTAATATTTTTTATAAATATTTCCATATAATATAAAATATAGTATTTATATGCAAATGGATAACATGCTAAGCATGTTTTTATGTGAACTGAACATATATAAAAGACTGATTTAACACATAATTAGATTTTATGTAGTATGTATAATAATAATACGTTTATTCATATTTAAAGTAATAAATTAATAAAAACAATTTTGTTATAACAAACAAAAAATTAAAGTTGCTACATATATAAATTAATTATATGGAGGATATAATTTTTGTATATAATGTATTTATATATATAAAAAGTACAGTTTTGTTATTTCTGTATATTTATATACATATACTGTTGTAAGGACTATTTTATTTAATGAAATAAAAATTGTATTTATATATTCCATATTTGCTAAATATGTAAAATAAAAAATTCTCTGATCAGATTCATGAAATATATAATATCATTTTTTGTGTTTTGAAATTTTCGTTGCTTTTATGCGATTTACGTTACCCTGCAAACGTTTGACTTTCAGTGGCAAATATGTAACATTTGCAGATATATTATCAATTTTTCGTTTTTTCGAGTTTTTATTTTGATGAATATGACTATATCTTATATTTTTCTTTATACTTGTATCAAATTCATTACAATCATACTTAGTTAAGGAAATAAAATCATCTTGTTCAATTTCTTTTACAATAGGCTTATTTGTGGAATTTTCTTTTGTGCTAGGTGGAACAAATGCTCTTTCTTTACGCGAAGATCTATACATATATACATCTGTAGATACTGTAAATTTAATTGGTTCTAAAGACACTTGAGATTCGTTCTCAACACTTATTTTGTCGTCTTTTTCGTCGGATATAATTTCTTCTGATAATTCAATATCTTTGAATAACTGGAGCCTATTGTTTGGTAAAGGTACATCCTTAAAAATATCACATATTATAACATATAAGGGGTGAAAATAATTATCTGTAGAGTCCATTACAACATTCTGAAATCAAAATTATAAAAATAAAATAAAATCAGCAAAAAATTATGTAAAATATTAATGTAAAATACTATACCTTTAAAGCACATGCAGCAGATGCAAACCCTATGGATTTTAATGTTACAGTTTTTAACTTAGGTAATAATAATACTGGTACTTTTTTATTCTGTGCCATATGAATAACATGTTTTATTAAAAGTGGCGGTGAAATATTTGCATCCATTAAAATACAACAGACGTTGTTTTTTTCTAAAGATCTAGTGATAGCATTTATACCCAAGACTACAGAATTTCTAAAAATTCTAAAAGTTTTTAAATTATATACAAATCAAAGAGATATATAGTTAAGGCAGTAATATAATTAAAAATATTTACGCTAAGTCTGAATTAGAAACATTTTCTTGTTCTTGAAGTGCTTCTTTTTTGGCTATTATACGCTCCTCTTTTTTCATTTTTTTGAGTTGTGACCATGGAATTAATTTAGATGGACGTTTTATAGTTGGCAATAATCTACAAATATAAATCATGAAAAATGCCAATTTATATTAATACTTTTATTCTTTATAATTTTTTAAAACTTACTTGTTTAAAATTTCTTCTAATAATGGACATTTTTCTTCATCTACAATTGGCCTAAAAATATATCTTATTATAGTATAAAAGATAAACTGTTTTGTACGTTATGTATAATAAATATGATTGAATATATAAATTGGAGAATTTACACATACCAATAATTGTCTTGAGGTTGCGCTAAGACATTTCGTAGCTTTTTAATTGATCCTTTTTTTGCTGACAATGAATGTTTCTGCTGCTGTTTTGTTAATATCGGAGTATTCATCGTAAAAATATCGAAATACTGATACAGGTTAAGTTCTCCATCAACACATGGCAATTGATTAAGACTAAACCATGAAGTATGATATAGACAGATCATCTACATACACTAGAATATCAGTAATGGTAAAATAGAAGTAATGAAAAATTTTAAACCATCATATTTTCAAGAATTTTTTTATTACAAGATCTCATATAATTATATAAGTTCACTAATTTCAAAGTGAAAACTATTAAAATTGAGTCTGAGATTTAATGTCGCATGACAAAAGTAACAAAATCTTTGCGAATGTTTACAATTTTACATTGAAATATTGTACAAAATGTGAATGCAAGTTTGTGATGCTTAAAGTTCGATTCTCTGTGGAAGATTTGAATTAATGGGACGAAAGCGGCATACGCCGATCATTGTAAATGGTACCCATCGATTCCAGTGGCGCCTGCGAAGAAAGTTCGTCGAGGTGGAAAACATAGGCGCTACGCCACTGGACCAAAGTGCAGGGGAATGGATAATGTGCAGAATACGGTTTCGAAAGGGAGCAGGACCGCAGCAGTGCACGCAGCAAGTCAAGATTGTCAAGATGGATGCTCGGTGCTGTCGGTGTGGAGTATGGATTTTGCCGCGTGATTCGTAAACGAGGATCGTCGTTATTGTCGAGAAAAAAAGATCGCGCGTCGGGGAGTATTGTTGTTCATGGTGTTCTTAGGTGTTCCATGGTGTCTCGGTACGCAGCGTTAAGTAAACGGGATGGTTTCACATAGTGATGAGAAAAACACCTAAAAGCAGTGCAAGTAGTAGCGGCCTTCTACAATGGTGGATAACAATTGTATTATCGAGGGAAACGTCAAATTTCGCGACGGCAAAAAAGTAAGTACTTTCACTCCGAATTTCTTTCTCAGTCGCTTATTCTTTTTCATTTGCCATCGAGGTGCCCGATTAATATTGTCGGAGTAACTGCTTAATTCATTATTTGTTAAAACAACATAGCTTAATTCATCTCGCGAATCTGCGTAACGCTATAACATCACACGCTGCGCTTGTTCACAATTTCGCGAAGAAATGTACGTGACGTTTTGATAGATTATAATTTAAAGTGAACTCGTGTTCGTGTTTAATTATCCCATAGTCACACGAGCACGGTACAGTTTTAATAAAATAATAATACGAAGATATTGCGCTAACGCGCTCGTCAAATAGTTACGGATGTATGTATATACGTTGCATGTATAAGATGTATATGTACAAGCATTTATTGAATCAATGAAAAACATGAAAGTCCAAATTGCAACAGAGTATAATCAAATTTTGCTTCTCTTACAAACATACAGTATACACTGTAATATATTAGAAATTATGTTACGGAAAAGTTTCGTAATTTTATGCATTTAATTAAAACTTTTGACACATAGTCAAACATTAATTAGCATCCATGCTTCGTGTGGTAATTGGAAGCTTGAATGTTTGAATGAGTCTGTGCCAATATCAAATATTTATTTCCTTGTGCCCATTGAAATTTGAGTGCAATAGTGTGGTTTTATTTATCATGGGCAAGGAGTTGAATTATGGTGTCCGTATGTGATTTCAATGAGCATTACAACTATTGAGTTGTAAGTTTGTTGAAGGCTTAAGGAAGTATTTAATGAGAAAGAAATGAAGAGTCATATAAAGCCATAAAAGTCATAAAAAGTTAACTCTTTTATTTACACTAGGGGCACCAAAGAAGTCATTCAATAAGAAAGGGTAGGAAACTCTTTTATTTTGATACAGAGGGTCCGAAATGAATTCAGACAAATGTATTATACATATGTATAATATTACCCTGCATAATAACTCTATGCAAACATGTAACATATTATTATAGGATATTCATGATAGGACCTGTTCCATTTGTCATTACTAGTGCCAATATTATATTAAATGCTATTAATTTAATAAAGTAAGTATGCTTGTATATTGAATTATTCAAAATCATTTGTTTGCATTACAGTGGAAATCAAGATGGTGTGTCATGAGAAAATTGTCACCGGTTGCAGGTAAAAATTTATTTTGACAAAATTTAATTTTTGTTCTTGTAAAAAGATTATATTTTTATAAATAAAGAATAATAACACGCTTGGACAAAAATCACTTTGTTGTATCACTGGCAGAAAAATGTAAAACATTATCAGTAACATGAAACATGTGGAATTAACTATAGATAGTGGGCAGGAAGTGTTGAATATTTTATGTCACATATCTCTGTTTTTTAGTGTGAAAAATGAAAGTACCTCCCTTTTTATATAACATCTGTGCATTCCTCACAATGAATCATTCTTCTGCACCATAAGAAGGACTGCCTTTAATCTTATCAGTGTTGATAAAAAAAAAAAAAATGATAAACTCGAGCTACACCTGTAACAAGAGAAACAACAACAGATGTTGCAAACTGACTCTAAAAAGCCACTGCCAATTTTATTTCCTATCACATTCCTAATCCTATCTCCTGAAAGAATTTCCTTGCTTGTTATCAGCATAAAGAATCCCTCCCTGTGGTTGTGTCCTAGGGTGGCAGCTGGCACATCTGTTACTGATTGACTAGCTGGAGAAACAAAAAATTTCCAAGAAGAGCTTTGCTTCTGGCAATAACCATTAATACCTGACCCATGTAACTTGAGGGTATTTTAAAACTTAGGGACACCAGTAACTCATAAATTTTCTTTAGGGAGAATTAGTTGAGCGTACATAGAAGGGACTCGAAATGGATTTAGTGCGTTTCTACGTTTTGTGTGACGGTATTAATAGCATGTCGCGCTCGTCAGTTAGCATAACGAAAGATCGTTGACACATTTGTTCGAACGACCCTCGATAAAAAATTCTCGTTAGAGGAATGTCCAATAAGAAAATCATTGACCGTTCGTCGCGTTTCGAACGAAGGCATAGTTGCTTAGAAGACATACTCCTTTATAGATTGCCTTCATTTACAACTTTACGGAGATAGCAAGGATCGATATAAGCAAGGTCAAACGAAAGCCTCATTAAGTTTGCAACATTTTCTCGGTGTGGAGAGTGGTTTCACTCTTGACAAGGAATCCAATACTATAGCTATAATATGCCAAGATGTGACGGTTGTTCTGGCTTTCGACACTAGAGAACGATTGATACAATGGCAAGTGAAAATCTCCAACAACTTGGGCGAAGGTACGTATCATCGTTCGGGAAATCATTGAAAAAAGAAGAAGAAGAAAAAAAATCATCGGTTAAAAATTCTAACGATCTAACGGAAATTATATTCTATTTCCGCAGATCAACAGTTTCTGATACTGATCTCCTCGGTTCCGTCGAAGGCGAAATTGACAAATGGACCGGCGCATTTACACATTCAGGATCGTCGATTCTGCATCACCGTCGGGATACCTCCCAGATTAGTCGGTATTTGGGAGATCGGGCATCTACGACGATACGGCGTGGTGGAAGGACGATTTTGTTTCGAGGGTGGTTCGAGATGCGGCCGGGGGGAAGGCCTTCACGTGCTGATAACGGATCAAGGAGAAGATATCGTGAAGATGCTGCAATTAGCGGCGGAAGGGAAGCTGACGAAAAAACGACCGGTTAACAGGGAGCAGATAGTGCAGGAGAGCCCGCGTCGTCAGTTCTCTCGATCGGAAACGAGGGCCAGCGATTTTTTCCCCTCGGCTGTTTACTCGTCCACGTATGAAGAGCAGTGCGACAGCTGCAAGAACGAGAGCTCACCCTATTGGTCGTCCACCGAGAGTAGGCAACAGACTGAACTCGACAGGGATTACAGTAGCAGAGACACCGTCTCCGTTTCGGAATTACCCGATCAGCCAGCAGAATGGCGCAGCTGTTCTCTCACTCGTCAAGGAACATCCGCTCTCGAGAGATGCGCTAGCTGTATCAGCAAGCTGGGAACCGTGTCGAAATCCTCGACTTTGGCCACTACAATTGGAGCGAGTAGTATAAGCAGTCCGGCGGGAACTATGAATAATTTAGGTTGTCATTTACAGCCACGCACGCTCGATCGGTTATCGTTATCCTCGTACAGCAGTAGCAGTCACGACAGCGACTATTCCAGTTCACAGCAAATGGACTGTCATTGTTCGCAAAGTTCGAAGAGCTCGCAACAACAGACGAGCGTTCAACGCGTGTCACCGAGTCCTAGCGCACTACCACCGAGACCTCCGAAACCGTCCCAAAGCTCTGCCACTGCGAAAAAGGTTAAGAAACCTCCTATGCCACTGCCAAACGAACAAGTTTGCGTGCACTCACGTAGCAAGCAACAGCTAGTCGTACGTAATGCAACCGGTGCTGCTGGTCCTTACGAGAATTACGACGTGCCCAAAACAATCTTGGGTCATCACATGTTGTTAGAGCAAAGTTCCCAACCGGATCAGTATTACGACACGCCAAGGAAAATCAAAGAATGCCTAGCACTGCCAAAAACCTATCCTAATTACGATACACCGCAGGCGCCTCAAGCCGTAGTGTTACAGCAATGCGGTTGCCCGGCTAAACTCACCGTTCAGTCACCCAGATCCTCGGGATGTCCCTGTCAAAACGTGATGAGTTGGGCCGGTTTCGTACTGCCGTATTGCAGACGAGGAGCAGGAATTGAACCAACCGGGGTTGCCGTGCATCCCGTGAAACTTTCCGGGGAAGGTAAAATGCCTGTTGTGAATGCGAGCGGGGAGATCGCGATTTACGCAACGGCGAAACAGGCCAAAAAATCGGAGAACGTCGGAGAAGAGAAGAACAAAGATAACTGCGAATGCCCAGATAGCAGGACAAACAATTACGAGAACGTCGAGCCTGTTATCGACACGCAACCCGAGTCGAAGCAAACGAATTACGTAAACATAGATTTCACTCAATCGCTTGAGCATTATGAGAACAGCAAAGACCTTTTGGCAAAGAGTGGAATCTCGCAGGAGGAAATAGAAAAGTTTTCCGATCAAATTAAGAACGAGACACCCGAACCGCCCACAGAAGATTCGTCCAAGATATGC